GGGGCTGAGAGRTCAGAGTGGGGTGACAGAGTGGGAGGGGGACAAGGTGTCACCCAGACTCTGGTGACAGGTGGCAGCTGGCAGGGGTAAAGTGGCTTCTCTGCCATCTACACAACTCAGCTGCCAACCCCTGTGGCCTAGGGAACCCAGGTGTCTCACTTTCCAGTGCTACTTTGTGCTGTGTTCACAATTCATGCCTCTGATTCATACTACTAAAAGAACTTTATTTTCCTAGTTTTATTTTTCAGAAATAAAATTGTAGCCAGGWGCTGAGGCGCATGTGTGACATCCCAGAGACTAGAGAGATTGAGGTAGGAGGATCACAAGTTCAAGGCCAGTGTGGGCAACTTGGCCGGACCCTGTCTTAAACAAACTAAAAAAGGGCTTRGGCGGGKGTAGCTCAGTGGCAGAAGGCCCCTGGGTTCAAGATTGTAGGCAGCGGGTGTAGCTTCATGGTAGAGAGCTTGTCCAGCATTCACAAGGCCCTATTATTGTGTTTCTATCCCAAACATAATAATAATAATAATAATAATAACAACAACAACAACAACAACAACAAAAATTGTAATTAAAATATGCCTACAGAAAAATGCATCCCAGGGGCTGGGGATACGGCTCAAGTAGTAGCACACTTGCCTGGCATGCATGAGGCCCGGGTTCCATCCTCAGCACCACGTAAAAATAAAATAAAGATATTGTGTCCACCTAAAGCTAAAAAATAAATATAAAAAAAAGAAAAATGCATCCATAAGTAGAGTTTGGTGACTTTTTGCAAACCAACACATCCAAGTGTAACTAGAACTCAGAACCAGGAACAAAATATTTGCCAACCCCTCCTGTCCTTTTCTAGCCACTACCCTTCATCAGCAGCAGGCACCTGACTTCCAGGTCATTAGAACTAGTCATTAGTCACTAATTAGTTTTGCCTGGTTGTTGGTGAGGCGTGAAGCCAGGGCCTTGTGCATGGTAGGCACGTGCTCTACCCTAAGGGGCACCCCCTGTCCCGGCTGGGTCTGGTTTTGAACTTCATGTAAGTGGAACCATCCGGCCTGTGCTCTTCTGTGCCAGGTTCACCTTGCTGCACACTAGGTCTGGGCCGTGTAGTATTCCGGGGCGTGCACACACTGTGTTTTATTTATCTGTTCTACTGAYGGTGGACGTTTGAGTTGTTCCCAGTTTTTGCCTGTCCGGGGACAGCTGCTTTGAAACGGTTATGTTTCTCTGCCTTTCTGTTTGAGTACATATCTCRGGTACACTTGCGTCCACCTCCAAAAAAGCTCTCTCTGTTTTAAAAGAAAACCTTCCTTGCTGTTTGTTTTTGCTTAATCAGCTTTATAGAGGTGTAGTTAGATATGATAAAATGTACCCATTTTAACTGTACCCCTGGCAACCACTGATGTGGTTTCTCTCCTTGAGCATTCATTTGGCTTATTCCTGAGCTTCCTATGAAGGGACTGTAGGGTAAGTGGGCTCTCTGTCTGGCATCTCTCCTTGGCACCTACCATGCMATCTGCATCCTGGCCTGTAGTTATTGCTCCTTTTTATGGTACACATTATGCGAATGCATCATGGCTCATTTATTCATTTCCCCGTGGACAGATGTTTAGAGTGTTTCCAGTTTGGCTATAATAAACAACGCCGTGAMGGTCACTCCATCATTCCTGTACCAGACCTGGTGTTGGGCATGTGTATTCACTGCTCCTGGGCAAATACCTGCGAGTGATTGCTGGGTCGTAAGGTAGGTGTATAGTCAACTTTATAAGAAATGGTCAGACTGTTTTCCAAAGCCTTGGGCCACTTCAACCTCTCATCAGCAATGGATGAGAGGCCAGCTGCTTCCCAGCCATGCCAGCACTTAATTTTGCCATTTATTTCAGTTTAGCCATCCCAGTGGGTCTGAAGGGCTAGCTAGCTTATGGAAGCTTGTGTGTGTGTGTATGTGGCACGTGCGCCAGGGATTGAACCCAGGGGCGCTTAACCACTGARSCACATCCCCAGCCTTTTTTTGTATTTTATTTAAAGACAGGGTCTCACTGAGTTGCTTAGGGCCTCGCTGAGTTGCTGAGGMTGSCTCTGAACTCTCAATCCTTCTGCCTCAGCCTCCTGAATCGCTGGGATAATAAGTGTGTGCCACTGTGCCCGGCCTTATTGGGGCTTTAATTTGCATTTGCATGTTTTCCTGTGTTTCTTGGCCATCTGAGCCTTTTCTCTGGGGATGGTCTGTTCAAGCCTTCCTTATTTTATGTCCCCATCATACGTTTCATAGCCGCTGCCTCTGCCATCTACAACCTCAGCATTTTTTCATTTGGAGTAACTAAAAAGTTCTTCAAATTTGCCTTTTTCATTCCAGGGACTTCTCGGTTGAGCCAGACAAACCTTCCTAAACACCACAGTACACACACAGTCACTCCCTTGCTCTAAAACCTGCTCAGCTCCCCAAGTCTTCGGGGCCAGCCCCACTTCCCCATCTGCCATTCAAGGCAACTCCAGCCCCTGGCCTCAGCCTGTCTCTGCCGCCTTCCTTCCATTGCCTTTTCTACTGATCAGTAGAATATCTTGTCCGCTCCTTTCTCCCCCAGGGTTAAGTCTGCTCTAAATCAAGTCTGCTTCTCTCCAGGGAGGCTGCCTGTGAGCCCCACCCCACGGGGCTTCCTGGTTCCTCTGAGCATCTCTCCTGCTCTGCTGCTGGTTGGCACTCACTCTTTCTCCTTCTTCTTTTTCTTCAGTATTGGGCAAGTGCTCTATCACTAAGCCACATCCCTGGCTCTTATTTTATTTTGCCACAGGATTTTGCTAAGTTGTCCAGGCTGGCATYGAACCTAAGATCCTCCTGCCTCGGCCTCCCTGGTAGCTGGGATTTCAGACCTGTGCCACCGTGCCCTTTCTTTATTTATTAAAAAAAAATTTAGGAGCTGGGGATGTGGCTCAAGCGGTAGYGCGCTCGCCTGGCATGCGTGCGGCCCGGTTCGATCCTCAGCACCACGTACAAACAAAGATGTTGTGTCCGCCGAGAACTAAAAAATAAATATTAAAAATTCTCTCTCTCCTCTCTCACTCTCTCTTTAAAAAAAAAAAAAAAAGAAAGCTCCCATTACAATAAAATCAGACTTTCTTTAAAAAAAAAATTWAAAAAAATTTAGTTTTAGTTGGACAGCATGCCTTTATTTTATTTTTTTTATTTTTATGGGGTGCTAAGGATTGAACCCAGTCCCTCACATATGCTACGCAAGTGCTCTGCTACTGAGTTACAACCCCAGCCCATATTTATTTACTTTTTTTCTGGTGCAGGAATGGAAACTTTGCCCCCTCACAGTACAAGCTAGATGTCCAGGGCCTGGAGAGGGGCCTGTTGGTACCAGGAAGTTCCTCATACACATGATAAAAGTGTGGGCTTCTCCTTATAAATGTTTGTCACCAATATTGTATATGAATACGCTTATAAAATCACACATATCGCCTCAAAAATTCTAGCATGTTGTGGGGGGAGATGGGGAAGGAGAAGGGGGGCTTTCCCCCCTGTCTAAGAACCTTTGATGTGCACCAAAGATTATTGGATTTGAAGGAGATGTCTTGGATTTTAGCTGTAGCTCTATCCTTTTGTAACCGGGTGTCAGGAGATCAGTTCGTTGACTAGGGAGGATGAATTAAGTTAAAAAATAAATGGGGAGAGGTCATCCTTCCAGAACTGTGGGGAATAGGCAAGATCTTCCCATGTGAAAGTCAAGGGCAAACCCTAAGGAGCCCATGTTTGCATTCAGAATCGGTTTACTTAGGAGCCCTTGGCACACYGACCTGGTGAAGGAACCTTGTCTTTTAGGAGGAGCTGGAGGAAGAAGCCAGGGAAGGAATCAAAATCACCTCCCCTCCTCCCTCTCCCTCCCTCACAGTCCCCTCTTCCCAATGGCCTCCTGCTGAAAACGCTGCTGTCCTCTCCCACCAGACTTTATTTTTAAAAAGGCTTCAGTGTTAAACTGGGGGGAAAGTGTAACAAAGAAGAAAAAATGCAGAGGGCTCGGTGATGTACAGAGGGAAGTCTGTAGAAGTCAGAGGCTTATCCGCTGAAGACCCAGGTCGGCTCCAGCTCTGCCAGGCGCTGGCTGGCCCTGGCCCGATGGGAAGGGCTAGGAGAGGTGATTTCAAGTCTCAGGGGCATTGTGGAGGTCCTGGGTTCAGATCTGAGCACCTCCAGGTGAGTCTAACTGCCCCAGAATCCCAGCGGGTCTGTCCACCCACCCGGGAACTGACCTTTGAATAGGTTTTCTTCATAGGGATTCATCCCCTCTCCCAACACATGACCAGCCTGGGCAGTCAACTTTCCATGGGTCACCTCTTCCAAAGCCACATTCAGAGGGGACCCCACTCCCTATCCTGGGAGGAGGGAGTCCTTGTACTTTCTACTTCACAAATTCATAAATATTTATGAGCTAATCACTGTTCCAGCTTCTGGAGATGCCRCTGGAGCCAAAGCGTATGCAAGGAAAGCCCTTTGGCATCCAGCGTCCCCTGTTGGCAGACACAGGAAGGAAGCCAAAGACCCCTGTCCTGTGGGGGTGGGGTAGGCTGTTAAGTGCGATTAAGAGAAATCTTCACCTTCTGGGCACCAAACACCAAGAAAGGGAGGGAGTTGAGATCGGTGGTCAGGGAAGGCATTCGGGAGTCTCCACTGAGGTCTCTGCCCTCCCCCAGCCCTGCCCCCCTCTACCCCAGGCTGGTTCTCGCTGCAGGGTCACCTCCCCAGCCGGCGCATCACCTGGGCTCCTCCCGAGGCGGTTCTGGTGCCGCGCGCGGGGAGGGCGCATTGGCCGGGCTTGGTCTCCATTACGCGCGCCAGGAGGCGCTGGAGTGCCCACACTCCGACCYTGGGGGCTGTGGGTGTCCCCGGTTCCGCGAGTGACTCCGCCCCAGCCCGCCCCCGCCCGCGCTCCCGCCTCGCCTTGCTGCAGCGCACACGCCCAAGTCCTCTCGTCCTCCCTTAGCGTCCCCGACCTGGCGCGCCCAGGGAGCCCATGGAGCTGGCGCGCGGCGCGTCCAAGGGGGATGGCGGGGCCGAGGCGCTGCTGGGTGAGCTGGAGGGGCTGGTGCAGGACGTGGTGAGGGCAAGTTCCTGGTGGGAGCTCCATGGCGTGGATTGTGCCATCCTCGCACTCAGCCTCCTCGCCTTGCCAGCCGGTGAGGGACACGGGGTCGGGGACAGAGGGACAGGGACGGGCTGCGGGTGGGGGTAGGTTGCGTCGAAGGATGGTTGTGCTTGCAGGCGGTGCTGCAGCTGGCCTGCAGTGGGGAGGGGAAGTCGGACCTTAGGCTGAAGGGTCACACCTTAAGCCCCAAAGTGTGGCTTAGAGTGTCCTGTCCTATGACTCCAGAGGAACTGGACTCAGAGGTGGGAGAAAGTCTGATAGCTTGAAGGTGGTGGAGGGAAAAGTGGAGAGGAGTCAGGGAGGGGTGGGGAGGGAAGARGTGGCCATGCAAAAGGGAAGAATGTTCTACTGGGGACACCAGGGAATGGGTGAGAGGAGTGGGGAGAGCGCTTGGAGGTTTCCCTGGAGCTCTCATGGTCTGAAACTCTGTGATACCTGACCCCCATCTCTGCTCTGTTTGAGAGCTCAGCAGGGAAACCTCAGCAGATTCAGGACCCCTGAAGTTTCCTTGGCAAGATCTTGGGGCTCTATTTCATTCCAAATTCTGTAGGGAGAGCCAATCCATCCCCCTCAGGTCATGGAAGGTCCTGCCTCACTCCTGCCTGTGGCAGCCCCAGGGCTGGGCCCCCTGTGGCCAGGGATTCTGGGGTGGAGTATTTAGGCCCAGATCTTCAGGAACTGGAGGAAGACCCTGTTCCCTTGTCCCCTCCTCTGTGCAGGGTTCCTGTGCCTGTCCTCTGAGAATGTCCTGGTCTTTGCCATTGGCATCACCATCTTGGGCGTGTGCCACTCCACRCTCACTGTCAAGGGCAGCCACCTGGCCACTCATGGTGCCCTCACCAAGTCCAAACGCTGGAGCAAGATCTGGTTGCTCTTCTTTGTAGAGGTGAGCCTTGGACAGGGGAGGGCTGCTGTCACCAGGCAAGCAGTCTCACTTGGTGCAAGCATGCAGATGTGTACAGGCGTGTGTGTGTGTGTGTGTGTGTGTGTGTGTGTGTGTGTGTGCGCATGTGTGCACAGCCATGCACAGGTTTCCAAGCCCTCAAAAGGGAGTTTGCACCTGGTGGGTAGAGAACTGTGTGATGCACATCTGAGTGTCTAGCTATGACAGTGAACTTGGCCTGGGCACCTTTCTTTCTCCTGAGGATGTTCACTCACCTCTCTGCAGCACCAGGCCAAGTATGACCAGGGCTTCTTCCTCCTATGAGAACACCTGTGGCTGGCAAGTCCAGTTTTGTGACTGTCTTGGCCCATGGCTGCAATCACTAGAGCCTCTGGGTTTTGCAATCAGAGTTTAAAATGTGACCCACACAGAAGGGGCAGGGGCAGGTCTGGTGTTACAGAGTTCCAGTTTGTGGAACTAGATTGTGCCCTTCTGACTCCTGGCCAAGGCTGAGCCATCCTGAGAGGCTCCCTGTTCCTCCACGTCTCCGATGGACCCTCCTCTCTCCTGACTCTTGCTCCCCCGTCTTCCATCTCCCCACTSTTCTGCCTTCTTACCTGGGGGCCAGCCCAGGAAGGCAAAGGTGGACAGACTGTCCTCTCACAATGGGGCTTCCAGCAGCCTCTCCAGAGCCTCTCCCAAACTTGTTCTGTCTTTGCTTCCAGGGGAACCCTCCCCTAACCACTCAGGTCCTTTATGAATAAATCAGGAAGCTCGTAACAGAAGGAGTCCTTTTCTGGCAGGGACTGGTTGCCATGACCTTTAACTCAATCATTAACTTTTTATAAAGTCATGTAATCTTATAAAACTTTATATGACACACACATAGGTCTTCTGATTTCACCCACTGAGTGGAGGGGACATTTCTCACCTGGCTTTCTCCATCCCTTGTTTTCCCCCCTCCTCTTCCCACCAGCACATTTTCTGAAAGGCTGAGGTCAAGAGGAATCCACAGGTTCCCCATCCTCAAGGTCAATTTCAAAATGTTTCCCTTTCCACGGACCCCTGGATGTGGTCTCAGCCAGACTCAAGGCAAGACTGGACCCTGGGGTCTGGCTCAGAGCCTCACTGAGTTTGTAACCTGCCAAAGGAGGCAGGGGCAATGTTGGCTGTGTTGCGACATGGCAGTGTCACAGTGCCAGGACCCAAGGGGTAGGATTGGCTGTTTGGAGTTTTCAAAGCTGCACTGAGTGCCAGGAACCTGGAGGCGGTTGAGGGTGAGCAGTTTTTGTGGTCTGTGGACTGGAGCAGACAGCAAGGGACTTATTGTACAGATTTGGCCTCAGGGTTCTCACACTTGGGTGAATAGCTAGGTGACCGGGAGGTCCAGATGAGTTGGAGAAGCCTCAGTGACCCTGATATGCACTAAAACATGAGAACTCCTGACCCTGACTTCCCAGGGCCTCAGGCTGTCATATGAGTAAAGCCGGGAGCCAAGGACACTGTCCCACTGGAGAGCTGTTYGGGAGCCAGGCAGCCCCAGGGCTGGGTTCTGCTTGCTGTCCACCGTCTTGTCCCCAGGAGCCCCAGACCAGTAGCATCATCTTTGCCTTTTGTCTGTTCAGGCCTGACTGAGCTCTTGGCAGGACTTCCATCAATATTTGTGGACCATGACCATGCAATTCACTTGGGGTCAAGGTCCCTGGAAAAGCTGATTGACAGAAGATTATGCCCTGGAGGGTCACAGCCTATGTCCCCTCAGTGCTGGAGAGGGAAGGCTTGGCTACCCACTCAGYGTGTGGCACTGGCTGATTCGCTGTGATGGACCACCAGGCAAGGCACAGTGACTTGCACTCAGGCTCTCAAGCCATGGGGATGAGGTGGAGTCAGTAACGGAGATTTTCGGACCCCAGGGTGTGGCTCTGGCTACCCTCTGGGGAAGGTCCAGTCCCTGTGCAGGGGAGGGATGGATCAGGCCTTCTAGCTGACATGGTGAGGCCACAGCAGTCTTCAGAAAGGTTGCTGGTCTTATGGCCAGGCAGGGGGCCAGGGTTAGGGGCACATCCTTTGCAGCCTCGAGCCCTGGTTGGAATCCTAGCCCACTGGGCTGCCCTGARCTTGGGCAAGTTGGCTTGGTCCAGCAGCCAGTGTTAGTTCCTCCTGGAGTCAGCTGGAGGGAAGGCCTGGCCTCCTTCCTGAAGCAGGCAGGTGGCTGCAGAGAGCCCACCCAGGCCTCGACTAGGGCCRGGTCCTGACCTGTCTCTCCCCCTGGCGGGGAGAGGTGATCAGCTGCAAGGGAAGGGGTTTGTTCCACTCCTGGTTTTGATTTTGCTCACTCACAGGTTGCAGGGCTCGCACTGTGTTGGGGACCGGGTTGCACGGCACAGAGGACAAGCTCTGGAGGTCTGGGACCTCAGAGGATATCCGGGACCTTTCCTGGATCCCTGACTGTCACTTCTCCTGCATACCCGTGTCTCTTCCCTGTCATCCTTTWACTGCTGGGGCCCGAGTTCTTCCCGGACTTTGACCTTCGGGAGGCACCATGACTGTAGGGAATCTTGGCCCAGGTTCCTTCCAGAGTCCTGCAGATTCTGCCACCTCAGGCATCCGCCCAGCACCACTGGCTTTGCTCAGCACCAGCTTTTGCTGTGGTTGCCTCAGGACTGACCACTCCTAACCCGGGTGGAACCAGGACCTCTCTGAGCCCACTGGGGAGTGGGGAAGCAGGCTGGAGGAAGGGGGGCTTCTACTCCAATTCCCATGCCAGGTGAGTTCCCCCAGAAGACCCCCCTCTGGCTCACCTGGGAAAATTCCTCGTCCCTCCTAGTAGCATAGCCCATTCTCTAGCCCTGGCCTCACCCAGCACAGCACCTGGCTCTCCCTGCCCTGGGTTATGCCACTGGGACGGCCAGAGAGGGTGCCACACTCAGTTGGCCGTCAGAGGGTGGGGGCAAGGTGGGGTGAGCAGGCTGCCATGACTTCAGTCCAAAGGACTGGATTCACTCCTGAAACCAGAGGGTTTTAGGGACTCTCCTACAAGTTGTTCAATAATCCAGGATGCTCCCCTGAGTGGGAGGGAACAGGCCGGACCAGTTACTAAGCTCTTTATTGTGTCTCAGCTTCAAATCCTCCTTGTAAAGTTGGCTTTGTGCTAYGGGGTGGAGCCACAGCTGGTCCACAGGGAGCCCTGCACAGCAGACTGTGCCCTGCAGGGAGGAGTGTCACACAGGAGAATGCCTGTCACCGTCTGCAGGTCCCTTGTGATGGTGAGAACCGCTGAGAACTCCCAGCCTAGACATGGTCTCCATCCAAGCCCCAAGGACTCCTGTTTGAGGAGGAGCAACTGGGGTATTTGGTGCTGGAGATGGAACCTCGGTCTCACACATGCTGGGCACTCACTCTGCCACTGAGCCACACCCCAGCCTCCACTATGACTTCTTATTGTTTTATTTTTTAAAATTCACTTGGTGGGGGGCTGGGGCTATAGCTCAGTGGCAGACAACTTGCCTAGCATGTGTGAGGCACTGGGTTCAATCCTCAGCACCACATAAAAATGAAAAAGATAAATAAATAAATAAATAAAGGCATTCTGTCCATCTACAACAAAAAATTTTTAAAAATTAAAGAAAATTTAGAGGGCCAACATGGATCTTCAGTACAAAATATAATTTTTATATAAACTTTTTATTTTAAAAATTATTATAGAGTCGTTTCTCCCAGGGTTATATTTATATAAGTGTCATTTGATGGTGAAACCGAGGAAGCTGTCATTGGTACAGTGTGTGTGTGTGTGTGTGTGTGTGTGTGTGTGTGTGTGTTAGTTCTAGGCCATTTTATCACATGTAGCTTCTCAAAATGCACTCTTAACGACCTTGGGGCGTGGCTTCCTTAAGAAGCCTGAGGACCAGCATGGTGATGCACACTTATGATCCCAGTAACTCAGGAGGCAGAGGCTGGAGGATCAAAAGTTGGAGGCCAACCTCAGCACTTAGTGAGGCTCTGTCTCAAAATAAAAAATAAAAATGTTTGGAACATATCCCAGTGGTAAAGAGCCCCTGGGTTCAATTCCCAGTTACAAACAAAAAAAAAAAAAAAAAGGAGAAGGAGAAGAAGAAGTCTGAGACAGGAGGCTGGGGGAGACAGACAGCAGGGTTCTGGAGCAGCTGCAGCAGCCTGCGATGGCACACTGGATCTGAGTGTCCATCCCCGGCCATGCTCTGCTAGGTGCCAGGGACCAAGGTGAGTAAGACCTCCAGTTCCCTAAGCGCTCAACCCAGTGAGAGCCCCGATGATGCAGCTGACACTCGCTCGCAGCTTGCTGTGTTCTTGTCTGAATCATCTCATGCCTTTCCAAGAAGTCAGAGCTATTCGCACCCTTACTTTGGACGTTAGGGGACACTTACCTGGGATGGTAAGTCCCTTGCTCAGGGCTGCACGGCTGATATGTGGTGCAGCTGACATTCAAGCAGGAGCAGCAGCAGATTGTGTTGAAGGTGCCAGGGGTGCTGTGAGGACCCTCTGCTCTGGGGGGAGCGTGGTAGGGACGCTGGGCAACATCTGGAGATGCTTCTGACAGTCATGACCGGGTGTGTGGACGTGTGTGAGCATAAGAATGTGTGCCACTGAGATCCAGTGGGCCGAGGCCGCTTGTAAACATCATACAAAGCAAGSACAGGCCCACAGGAAACATGGCCCAGCCCCAAGCGTCAGAGGGCAGAAGCTCAGAACCCTAGGGAATTTCCCGAAGAGACACCGGCTGGCCTCAGGAGCCGGGTGGTGACTTCAGACAAAGCCGATACAGGGACCAGGGATGGGTATGAGAAATAGCACAGTGCTTGAGGGACCCACAGAAATCTGGGGTCACTAGAATCTAGTGGGGATCTTGGAGAAAAGAGGTCAAGGAGGCCCACGTGCCAGGCAGAGGATCTGGGACTTTGTCCTGTGACCAAAGCTAGTTGTCTCCATTAGTAGTTTAAAAACTGATTTAATTGATTTTGTGAATAGCTAACATGATTCTAGAATTCAGAATTTTAAAGGTGCAGGAATAAGTCTTCCTCTCACATTCCATGGCTGCCCCATTTTCTTTTTGGGAAATGATGGGAGATGGAAGTTGCCAGTCTTTTTTGTGACCTCTGATATTTCCCTCTTTATTTATTTGTTGTTTGTTTGTTTGTACTTGAGATTGAACCCACTGATGCTCTACCTCTGAGCTACATCCCAGCCCCCCCCCCACCTTTTGCCGTACTGAGGATTGAACCCAGGGGTACTCAACCATTGAGGCACATCCCAGCCCCTAAGTTGCTGAGGCTGGCCTTAAACTTGTGATCTTCTTTCCTCAGCCTCCCTAGTGACTGGGATTACAGGTATGTGCCACAGTGACTGACCTCTATGTTTTATTTGTTAAGTAAATAGTACCTTACAGAATTTAAAAACATAATTATAAAATTACGGCATAATCAAAGCTGGGTTGTGACTGTCACTGTACTGGGTTCGAGGTAGATGAGGCAGTGAGGGCTGGAGGGTGTTGGTACAGGCCAGCAGAGAGATGATGAGAAATGGCAAGGTGAGG